GGTCTAAGCATGACCGATTTTCATCCAGAGGCAGGTTTGTATGAATTGGGCTCTTTGGTGTTGGACCTTTTGATTAGATTTCCAAGTTGAAAAAAACGGTGCTAAAGCTTTGCTAGCCGCCTAGATTCCAAACATCCACTGGCCGCTCAAATCAACTGCAATCTTTCTACCTTGTTTTCGAATCTGACCCCTGGATTTTGTTTGATCCCGCTTGCCAGAGCTGGAATCCAGCATGGTCTGTCGACACCATTCTCACTGGCCTCTTGTCCTTCTTTCTCTCTGAAGAAAGAGGTCTCAGCCTCAGATGGCATGTTCTTTGCAGCTACCTGTGGAAGACTGTGGAAGGTGTTTGTTCGTTCTTTTTGCTGGTACCCGACGGGACCCGTAGCCGTTGCCTTCGTTGAAGATCCGAGAAGGCGTTCTGTATGTGTTCTTGATGGGAGAACCAGCGTATTCTGAGACCAACCTCTCCCTTTTGATGCAGAGCTCGACCAGAAACGGATAGTTATTCTGATTCAGTTGCATCGCCAAGGGTATGGCTCTGTCAAAACTTCAGAGGAGCAGAGGCGGCGCTTGGCATCCTCTTCATGGGCATTTGAGCTGCAAAGAAGGTTGTTTCTCGAAAAGGCTTTGCATGCTTCATGTTCTATCATTATCACAGTACAGAACGACATGCATGTTGAGTTGCCTTCTTTATCAGCGAAGTATAGCTAAGTTCACACCCTGGAATCGATAATTTTTGCTTGGTTTGGGATGGTTTGGGCTGCCAACAGAAGGGGCAGTGGTGGGAACATGGCTCATGCTCGTCCATTTTCAGCCTTCACCCCGACCAACCTTTCTTGATCTTGCTTGATCTTACTTGTACCATCTCATCTGATTGCAGCGCGCTTTGATTCACCTTGCCCCCTCTTATTTCCTGCAACTCCTTGGCAAGTATCGGGTGAAAGACTGGTGAAAGATTGACTTTTTCCTGCTTACAGTCATTGTTGGGCCAGTGCATTTATTTGTCTCAGCTCGTCTCGTTTCGCGTCATTTCATCTCTGTGCAACAGATAATCTCAACCCACCTCACCTCCACCTCACCGCCCAGATGCGTAGCCTTGTGCAGACATCCAGTGCTTGACAATCTCAAATGTATCAAAGCAAGGTGTTCTGCAGGCAATTATGTTTAACACCTACTGAAACGGCTGAGCCACTGTTAGAGTGTGATGCAGCAAAGGCTCACAACACTTCGGACGCAGACTTCGTGGAGCTTTTTCCCGAACTCTTGGAGCCGCCAAACAGGTGCCTCGGTGAGCTGTCACTTTTGTGTTTTCGGTGAGTCATGGCTGTTTCCAATGAAAGATATGAAAGACCTGAACAAAGTAGTGCACTAGAGATCACTAGAGTCACTAGGGCAAAATCAGGATAGTGCGCTGCACATATGGCTGGTAGTACAGTGTATGTCATGTGGTGTGCCACAGGCCGGCTGCAGGCAGTCAGGGGAGGAGCTGGAAACTCAGCCTGAGAGTGAAAGTGTTTGGTGGTTGAAGGAATATCAATGAAATGAGATGAGCAATCCTCAAAACGTGCAATGAGCGGTTGTGAATTCCACTAATTTTGCAAACACTTGCAAAAACGATAGGCCCCCTCAAAAGCGACAACCATATCCCCGCAGTTTTTTTGATATGTTCAGCATTGTTCAGCTATGTTGTGCTGACATTGTGGCTTTAAAACCTGCAAAAGCGCTCAAATGTTATTAGTTGTTCGAACACAATGACGATGGCAGCGAAGCGCTCAGAGCATTGCGTCTGAAAGGCACTGCAGTAGGGGAACTGTCAAAAGTTGACAGCAGGGGCGAATGAACAAAATATCATGAGTGAAGAATGGTGGAGAATGATGAATGCATATGCATGAATGTCGTATCACAACAAGGCTTGGCGTCGCCTTGGCGTTTGTTCAAAAACATTCAACAACTGTGCTCCGACCATAACGCTTGGAAGGTCAGGAGCTGCCCCACGTGGAGGCACACTTTCGTCACGGGCGGCGGGCGAGTCGTTGACAGCTGTCGATCTATTGTTCCTGATTCTCAGTGGTTGTTTGCTGGTTGTCTCCCTTTTCTATCCTTTTCTTGACATCAACATGTTGTGTTGGTTCTTCGGTTCTGCTCAGGCTCGCGAGTGCTGGATTTGCCGAGACCTAGGGACTGAACCCTTGATTCATCCCTGCGGCTGCAGAGGGCCAGCCTGGCGTGTTCGGTCCCATGCTTTTGTCTTATGTTCTCTTGAGCTGGACTTTGAGATTTGCAACCCTGACAAGGGATTGTCATTGTTTACCTAAATGTTTCTTTAATGATATTATGTGTTGGATATGTGTTGGTTCCAGTGATTCCAATGGAAGTGTTGGTTCCAATGGAAGTGCCTTTTACCTTGCTCGCATGTTTTTATCGTGCTATCGCACAGTATTGTTTCTGTTCAAGGAGCATGGTGTATCTATGAAGTGATACGTTGTCCACACTTCAATCCTTGCCATAGCCATATTGGACCGTACTCTGCGAGCTGCTGCCACAGCCCCACAAAGAGAGGCACCTCCAAAGCGCTTGCCTTTTGATAATGAAACCAATGACCCCCCTGTGCTGGTTGCCTGCAAGACATGCCGCGCAACAGTGCGATAGGACGATGTGGCGCTCGCATCGCTTTGTTTCTGCGCTGGCAGCACCTTGGTCTCAATATGGTATGGGAGTAGCTGCTTGGTGCTGCTTGTGCGCCTTTCATGAGCACTGAAACCGGCAACAGTCATGCACGCCTGGGTTGTTCACCCCCAATCACCCCGATGCTTTGCCTGTACCACAGAGACACACACACACACACACGTTCTTTCAGTTTGCTTGTTTCGCAAACTGACTGAGCCTTGCAACGGTGCAGGGGTTGATGTATCATCATATAATCATAATATGTTACAACGACCAGACTTATACACCACTGAGGGACTTGGTGGGAAGATATTTTGTTGACTTGGGTGATTTCCCATGGTGTTTCGGTTCATGCTCATGTAAAATCTCCCATTCTCCATGGGACACCACAAACGCATGGAGTCACGCATGAATGCGAAAAGTCAGCCATTTGTAATCATAATGCATAGATAATCATATATATATATATATGTATAACAATATATAGTAGTACATCATATATCCTACTGGGCACACCATCTCCAACCACATTCTGCAAACACATCATTCCACATGAAAAGTGTGTGGACACCACAGGACAAAGCTACTGTTTTGTTCAACTCTATTTAGGTTAAGAACCGACTTGTTGAGTGACTTACTTGTCCGCCCAGTACTCAATTCAACGTATTTCCATTCAGTCGGGCACAGTACCATTTTGCTTGGTTCAAGTCCGCTTTAGGTCTTTAGGTTGGAGGTACAGCAGCGTGAGAGTCAGACTTGCAGTGGTTCGGCAGCGCAAGCCTGTACCGATCAATTGATTAGGCATTGCCAGCCCTGGCATTGCTTGCACCTGGGGCTTCCTTCGTGGAGAGCCACGTGGCAGACCGCGTTCGACGACATCAGGTGTGATAGGGCCTGGTTGCCCTTGAGGAAGACTCAGCATAATTCAGGATTTGTTTGTAGGCAAGAAGCTGGTTTCTCCAGTCTGAAATGCACTATGTTTGTTGGCAGGAACTTACACTCAGACGAGCATCGAAGAAGCCAGAGCATGATGAAGATTCTTGGTCAAAGATGTAGATGATGTAGTACGTGTGCCTGTGAACTTTTTCGACCAACGCCTTTTTTGCGCCGTGTCTAATTTTTCCACTTAGCATGCACCCAAACCTACACTCTTTTCCAAGGACTTCTTGCATCCAGAGGGGAGCTTTACCTTGCCTGCAGTGATAGGCTGGAAGAATGTTCATCGATTGTTGCTGCTTGTGCGGTGGTGGCACGTAATGCTAGAAAGTGCAGCACTGCACAAGATTCTCCGAGGGGGTTTTGCCGGACTCTGTCTATCATTTCTGGTGGCCAGCATGCAAATGATGCCATCAGTTGCGGAGGATGGATCTCCCACAGGCGTGGAATCTGATCAGTGTGACTTTCTGAGAGATCAAGGTGCTGAGAGAATTCAGCTGTCACCTGAGCAACCGCCAAAACTCGAGATGACCAGTTTTGTACTGTAAGTGGTCGTGATTCTCAAGATTTGACTAAAACCTACAAAAGCGATCGGCCCCTCAAGAGCGATTTCCATGTCGCCGCAGCTGAAATTGTGTCTGAAAAAGTGATGGGCCCCACTCAAAAGCGACAACCTTGTTAAATCGTCTCCTCTTTGTTGACGTTTCGGCAGACGCTCACATGGTGCCCAGTCACGCCTCTAGCGAGGCTTTGCCGAGTTTGCTCGAAAAGGGGGGGAAGATGGATGCCGATGCACGTCTGCAGATGGATTTGAGAGGAAGATCAGTGGATAAGAGATGATACAATGATACTAGTAAGAGAAAGAGGTTGAAGGAAATCAGGGCCACCATGGGTCACTCATGCTGTGACACATGCAATGACTAGACTAGATGATACTAGTACTAGCAATCCTCATGCAATTTCACCAGCATAGATGAAGTCCGGTGTTACCGTCATTGTCACTTCATGCCTCTTCCTTCCCCTCAGGATGTTGGATGCTTCTTTGTCCAGTGCGGGAAGCAGACTAAGGAGCCCGGGTAGTGTACCAGCATTTTGGGAGTAGGCTGTCGTGTGCCCTGTACTCAATGGAAAGAGGAGTGCTTTGCGGAAGATGGAAGATGCTTGACCCTTGACTGAACAGATACTCTGACTGTCTCTGACTCTGTACTACCTGTTGCTTATGGAGTGGGAACTCTTTTTCAGTTCCAAGAGATTCAACACGCTTGATTGTGCACTACAGAGTGCCCTGCAGACCAAGCTACCTGTAGTTTCTGGCTTGCTGTCGACAACACAACTTGCAAAAAAGTTGAGATGGCTGCCCGGAAGTTATCACAAGATGGCTTAGGAAAGGTGCAATGTGCTTGGCTCGCTGCCGTGGAGACTCTGACTGTGCTACTCAGTGCTTTGCAGAGTACGGATGCCCCAGGTGGGGATGTCAGGAACTTTCACTGAACTACCAAGTCCAAAAGCATTCCAAAGCACCAGGTTACCCGGATTGTAGGTTACAATATTTTATACATAATATAATGACACGCTTCAAAACCATCAGCTTCGCTCCCGATGGGTCAATGGCTTTCGAACCATCCTCTCACCCATCAGACCAAGCTCTTGAATGCTCAACAGATCAGATTTGAAGCACAAAACCTGGAAGGCTAGATGCATGGTTGAACTGCACTGTGGAGAAGGAGCAGTGTGTTAGCGTGCCAGCAGGCACATATGACTCTTGGAGCCAAGTGGTGTTATTCACCTACCCTAACTAAGCATATGACTCCTGCTTCCTTGCCCAGATGACCTCTCTATTCTGCGATATTCATACTATGACCCCTCCACTAAAAATTAATTGGAGGGGGTGACCCATGAATTAATTTTCTCAATCAATTTGTTTCTCCGACAATTTCATCGACAATTTATCGACAATCGTAAGTTTGATAAAACAATTGTTTTCGGGTGTACCTTGGATCAAGCTAGCCAACTAAATTAATCGACCCCTCCTTCAGAGGCCAACCCGCCCCCATCAATTTGTGTTGCCTGCACTTTCCCAGGCATATGCTTGCCAAATAAATTGAATAATCGACCCCTCCTCCAAAGGCCAACACCCCCTGAATTGATTTTTTCTACCTGGTTTTAAGTGTGGTGGCAATTTTCCTGCCTGGTTTGGCGTGGCTGTGGATGGGGGTTGCCACCTGGGGACTGGACACTGAGTGGTGAGGTGTCGATGAGTTAGGGAGGGTACGGGGGGCCCTAAGCAAATTTTATAGAACATTAATTGAGGGTGTACACCCCCCCCTCAATTACTATCTAACGTAGGGGTCATTTCATACTATCTCATCTCCATGTATCTCCCATGCTTGCCAGCAAGAACGCGGCAACATGATGTACGCACCCAATGATCAAGGAGAGCACAAAGCCTTTGTTTGCAATTTGCCAGTTAGAATCTGATGTCCAGCAGCAAAGGATGTGAAGAAGTTCTATGCAGAGAATATCCCAACGAAGATGAAGGATTTTGACGTGAGGAAGCTGGAGGGGAAGTGGTACAAAGTGAGGGGCTACAACCCCAAATATGATTGCTACCCTTGCCAGACCAACACCTTCAAGTATAACACTGAAACCAAAAAGATGGAGACGGAGGTGAAGCTCCGAGTGGCGACCCTTGGAGCTGCAGAGTGTTCTGCTAGCCATAGCAGACACGATGATGACAACATTTTTTATACAGTGAAACTTGAGTTGTCACAACACCGCAGCTAAGAATCTTGGAGCTTTTCCTGTGAATAGGCGTTGAGATTATGTTGCATTTCTATGCATTTCTGGGTTTTCCAAGGAGAAAGAAGAGTGGCGGATATTGGGAGAATGTCTTGACAGAACAGATGGATGTGCAGAGTCCTTCTGATCGGAGCACTTTGTGACTGGGGAGCATGATTCAGTTATGCGACGCACTTTGTTTCAAGTGGCATCCACAGTCCAAAACGATTGAAAGATCAACAGCCTTTCCGCTATACACGAGTCAATGCTCTCGGCAGCAAGATGAGGTTTGCAAAGGGAGAGATTTTTGGTCTTTCCTTCCAAGAAGAGTGGTACGTGCTGGGGGCAGATGATGATTTTGTAATGACTGCTTATGTGGGCAACAACCTACAGGACCTTTGCCACAAGACTTCAATGCTTCAACTTTTCAAGAGCAAGTGTTCCTGAGGGCAGAGTCGGAGTCAGGTCATGTGATATAGTTGTAAAATTGCCGGGCAGATACCCTGAAGATTGTAAGGTTCGCTAGCAGCTAGAAGCTAGGTGAGGCATACGCTTCCGAGATGAGACATGACACCTCCGAATATGTTTGACTTGCCCGTACAGGACGCCTATAAAGGCTGGTGGTCTTAGCTTTGCGCGACGCTTCAATGGTTGGCTGCCCAAGTCGTTGATTTGTATTCCAAACTTTCATTCATCAACATCCTGTTCCATTTGATCTATGCGGTGCTCGTAGCAGTTTCGTGTTAAAAGGCCTCAACTTCCAAAGACGATAAGGAAGGAGTTCTCTATACGACCAACTCAGCATATGACCATAGTTGGACAGGCAGCTTCGTGTATGCGCGAACGCCCGAGCTATCTGCGGAAGCAGAAGCCAAAGCCAGGGCAATTGCGGAAAAAAGTGGTGCCTTGGTTTAGTCAATTGGCTTACTATAGTTTATAGCATTTCAGAGCTACGTGTGCGCAGGAGCGCTGCAACCACAAAGCCATTTTATGAAGCCCATAACTCCGCTTTTTTTGACTGCAGGGGACTGGGGTTGGAATGCTCAGTACTCAGGACTGGACTGGTCGTGGCTTGGACCCCACCAGTCAATTCGGGCTTATAAGCCCTTTGTTTCTAGTAGCTTCTTGCTTCTAGTAGTAAGGCCAGGAGCGCCCCTAGTAGCGTCCTTGCTCCTAGTAGCGATGCCCTTTGTTACTAGTAGCTAAAGTGCTAAAAGTAGGGTATTTTGATTCATTGCAAGTCACGAATCATTACCCCTATCTCTATTCTAAGGAAGTATTGCGTAATCGACAACGCTTGTCCTGAGCAACCTCCAGTGGACTATTCATCTCCAGTGTCGATGAACCTAGATGCAACTTGGATGCATGTCAATTCAGGGAAAAAAACATAGGGGGAAGAATCCATGCACGTTAATTCATACCAGTTGCATCCAGTTGCTGATGGACTGTCTTGAACAGCTCAACGCCTTGGAGTGTCCGCCTTCAAGGACATGCAGGACCTTCTTGAGTGGTTCGCACCAGGCTCCACAAGAGGGGGGACTGTAACTTGGCAAAGCTATTGATACAAGGGAAATAATATGCTGAGCCGTACCCTGTGGACTCAGAGCCACTAACTAGAGAGGGAGCGGCCAGTCTGACAGCTGTGGAGACAGCTATAGGTACTTGTAATTCACTGTAATTCGAGATACACATATCTTTTGAGACCCAGATGAATCAGATAGAGTTTCATGGCCCAAGACGACTTGAGCGATCGTGAGGTCAAGGACGCGAACTTCACAGGCGACTATTAGCTGGAAGTGAAGGCCGCGAGAAGCCTGACCTCCGCCATGTCCTCTCTGTGCCAATGGACAAAGGCTAAGGCGGCCAAGATCGGCCAAGCCGGGCTGGAGTCAGTCATGGTGACCGCTCGCAACTGGCTGCCATGATTGCACCCTTTTTTAAGAAGACGTGAGCAGGTGAATGCAGGTGGGCAGGTGCAGACCTGATATCATTCTTACATGGAGTTTCTACCACTTCGGGCGTTTGAAGCCCTGGAGGGTGACAATGCGTGTATCATTTATCATTTATAATTTATAATATAGACAATTATAGATCTTAGATAACTTTAGACTATTGAGACAATTGGTGGAACAAGTGGCATTGTCATCCACCAAAGTGGACGAGTTGACAAGCAAGAAGCATCGTGAGAAGAGAGTTCAAAGGCCGCAGGGATCCGACGGACGATGTGAGACGACGTTGACAGTCGAGAGATCTGACAGTGACTGCTGCTTAGCAGGCTTGGCTTGAATGTCTTGCAATGTTTTGCACATGCGTTGAACAAGAACAGATTTTGGTGGTACAAAGCGGGGGTGTACCACTTCTTGCGTTTGTCGTCTCATTCTCCGTTTCTTTCTTAGTTGAGATAGGGGACAGCAAGAAGGCTATATATGTAGAATCGTCTCGCAAGACAGGTCAATGAGTGGCGTCCATGCTTCCTGTGTCGAGCAGTTCCATTCTCAGCAATCCGATATCCACACACAATTCCCAATGCTGGATTACGGCCAAGCTGGCTTGCTGGCATTTTATCGTAATAGTCATGCATAGTCAAGGACGGACAATTGATTCCAACAGAGGTGGATGCGACACCAACGCCAAGCTGGAGGACTGATCAGCCTTTTGCTTGAGCAGAAGCCGAATCACAGAAAGCACCAACTTTCTTTTGCTGTAAGAGAAAACTGCCAAATCCTTGATGGCATCAAGAAAACTCCTTCAAGATCCTTCGGGCATTGACTTCCAATCTTTTGTACACTTGCCTCACGGTCATAGGAGGTGGCAATCGTCCGCGTTGCAGCATTTGCCGCGAACCGTGCCCCAGAACTGGTTGCAGCATTTGCGCATGTCCTCTGAACTGCTCACGGAGGTACCTTGGCCATGAAGAGCGGCCTGGTTTGAGGAGCTTCTTGCTGCCAAGATGCAAGAAGGCATAAGAAGCCAAAGGATGTGCACAAAGCGTGCTCAGTGGAGAGCTTTCACTGGAGACTTGCAAGTTTGTTTGCCCAGGTTTCATTATGCGCGAGACTTTGGGGGGCAGCTCATTCGGAGGCAACCTTTTGACCTTTTGTCCATCCTAGAGCCTGCAAATTTTGTTGATTTGAGTTGCATTTATTTGCTCCAAAGACCTGGATCTGCGTTTCAATCGAAGGAATCAGAAGACAAACTGACACGTGACACGGCTAGGGCATAGGGCTTTTGTGCACGCGGAACCTGCCAGTGCTTTCCTGGTGACGATGCTGCTGGGCTTCCAGGATTGCTGTCGGAACGAGGCACCCGTGATGAGTGAGAAAAGACCTTTAAAACTATACATGAGCTTGCAGAATCAAGCGACGTGTTCCAAGGATTCTTGGTGTTTATATTGCAACCGAACTGAAAGCTCTTGATTTAAGTCGTGCTGTCAATTTAAAGACTGACAGCACTCTGATGATACTGTAGGAGTCAATTGTAAGAGCAGCGGAGGTTTGAGCATGTTGACTCATGACCCATGATAACTGTTGACTTAAAGCTGTGACTGTGACTATTGTCACTTGCTACAGGCAACACTTCCTCTTCCTGCCAGCATTGTTTTCATCCTCATGTTTGGATGTGCGGCTCAGATGCAGAATAGCATGAATAGCACGTTTGCTTATTGTAAGGACCTGAATAGTGCCAAAGGGTGCGCGTGGTTCTGAGGTGATGATCCACAAGTTCGCTGTGCTGGCAGCTGCTATCTCAGTGAGCCGAGCAACAAATCTGTTTGCCAGACATTTTTCTTCAATCTTTGCACCATGTTATATATATATATATATTAATTATATTCCAGTCCACCTTTGGCCCGGAAAGGGTCTTCGAAGGCCTCCTTGCCGCTCCATCGACCACCTCCACGCTCTCCGCGAGCTCAACGGTTTCACACGTCAGCATTCTCAGACGGAATCCGTCACTGGGTGGAACGGTTCTCGGAAACAAGACATTCGGTGCGGTTGACTTTGGACCATGGATGTTGATTGTGCAAAGTCCATCATGTTTGCTGTGCAGTTTGTTCTTCAAGGAAGAGTGCTTGGGCAGACTAGATCGAACCTGGAGAGATGAAGTATGTTTCGCTCAATGTATGGTTGGCATTTGCAAATCATTGTGTGTCAGCAGAAAATTGTGCCAAAACGGTTTTGCAAGATTTTGCGAGTTTAAACATGTTTTGGATGAATAACACGCAAGACATGAAATCAATTCCAGCTAAATGTGTGGATCGTCCCTATTCAAGGACGATCTGTAAAGATGACCGAACATGTCTATCGCAGATGCTGTTCGGCCGTGAAACGGTTCAGATCAAGAATGTAGTGCAGGGTGCAGGACACACAACATCACACAACAAGTCGGTCAGCAATGGATGCTTGCGCTGACAATGCAGCTATCAAGCAGGAATGTGCGAAAGAAGGAAGCTTTGTGATCCTTTGGGGAAGTTACACTCAGGTCTTTGGAGTGGTTCTGAAGCATGGAGAGATCACGAACAATCGCTTTGGTAATTTCCACCACGATGAGATCATTGGGCGACCCTTTGGAAGCAAAGTGAGATCTCGGAAAGGTGGACTTTGGTTGGCGTTGCTTCGCCCATCGCCTGAGTTTATCACACAAAGTTTGACCCATAGGACACAAATCGTGTACCATGCAGACATCTCCATGCTGAGATGCCTGTTGGATGCACGACCTGGGCGGATTCTTTGTGAAGCCGGCACGGGCTCAGGCTCGGTGTCGGCCAGTCTTTGCCGAGCTTTACGTCCTGGAGGTCGGCTTTATACCTTTGAATTCCATGAGGAGCGACAGAAGCAAGCCGTAGCCGACTTCGAGACCTATGGAGCTTTAGACGTCATTGTCTCACAGCACCGGGATGTTTGCAATGAAGGCTTTGGCGAAGAGCTCCATGCAAAGGTGCATGGAATCTTCCTCGACCTCCCAGCACCATGGCTTGCAGTGCCACATGTTACGAAGTGTTTGGTACCAGGTGGTCGTTTGGTGACTTTTTCACCATGTGTGGAGCAGGTGGATAAGACTGCTGTAGAGCTGCGGCGCAGTGGTTACTTTGATGTACGCATGCTCGAGACCCTGGCAATGAATTGGGGTGTCCGGGATGCAAAAGCCAAGCGTCGTCGAACGACAGCGCAGGATAACAGCGCAGCCACCAATGCTGAAGTGCAGGATGAGGCGCAGGAATTGCAAGAAGAAGCTGCAGGGGCATCAACAGGAGAGCGCACATCTGGCAAAAGCAATGATCAATGGCTCAGCTACCAAATGCCAATGCGCTCCCACACGGGCTACCTTTTGGTGGCTACTCGAGCGCCAGACGAGCCAATGGATGCTGAGTGATGCTATGCCTGCGTGGTGCAGCACCATTGTCAAAAATGCGTGCGATGGCTCTGACACTCGTGTTTGTTGAGACCTCTTCGCTGAAGCTATGAATGTGTGCACCAGCAAGTGTAGTCTGTAATTCTTGATATGGTTTCAGCGACAAAGGAGTTAGTAATCTTTGGCAATTGGCTTTTTGCTGAACAGGTCTGACCCACAGAAACTGGCAAGACATGCTGCAGAGGACAGCATGCTGCCAAGAGCTTTCTTTTAGTGTGAGAGGTGAGTGGCATTTCGCTGGGACACCCTCCAAGATTTTCTGAAAAGCATCCTAAGCCGCAGTCAGCGGGGTAGGGGTGTTTGGATGTGTTTGGAGCCACACCGCAAATAGGGCCGAGTCGGCCATGATCCACTGGCGAAGGCGTTGACAACGACCTGCGTCTTTGCCGCCTGGTGTGCTGGGACGGATCGAACACAGACAGAGAGGATAACCGTACATGCACGAATAATATTATTGAATATAAATATAATATAATATAATAGTCCACTGCCAAATGATTCGGTTCACAGTCTCGTTCTTCCCGTTGGTCACTATATGTCACTATATTTGCTGCTTGAATCGATCTTGACAGGTTCAAGATGGTTCAAGAAAGGGTTCCATTTCCTTTTTCAGCAGCGGAGTGTTCAACAGGGATTGACAAGGACATGGTGTCCTGGACAGTCTCCCGGACACCTCAAACAAAGTCAAGTTCTGAAGGTACATGCGCGGGGAGTTGCCCTTGGTGGCCTTTTTGCCCATTGGGATCATGGGCGTCAGCTTGGCGCCGCTCTCAATGACAAGGTGTTGAAAGAGCAGAAATGGATGTAATTAATTAATTACTGTACATCGAGCAGAATAGAGCCGAAAGAGGTTCAATCACATAGGTCCGATGGGTCCTGCAGATTGCAAAGCCATGCTCGGCCTGTCAATCCAAACTTTGGACCTCAGCAACCGGAAATACACTTAATGACTTAATGATCAGGGCAATGTTCAGTGTGGAATCCAGGTGTTGAAGGTATTTTCAAGCAGACTGCTGCCACCTCAGCCGAGCTTGAGAGCTTGATTTCTAGCCGAGATGATGGAGAATTAAGTTTTTTTGGTCGGATTGCTTTGGTATGCTTTGGTTATGTCAAGAGGCCTGCTCTAGACCTCTAAACGGAAGAACGAACATCAACCTGCGCCCTCGGCTCTGAAATTCATGGGGCAAAGCGGTCCAACAACTTGCGCAAGATGTTTTTTGAACGGATGCCACTACAACCCATCATGAAAAACGGATCATTTGCTGCAGCCAGACACGCAGAAGAAGACTTGCAAGACATGCTTCTTGCTCCTAATAGCGATGGCCTCCACCTAATAGCGTCCTTGCTACTAGTAGATGCATGAAGAAGATACGACAAGAAATACGACCGGCTGGCTAAGGACCTGGTCCTGCGTGTGGGCTTTGTTTCGAGCCCTCCTAAGGCACAAGAACGGAATTCATCTAGAACGATATAATCAAAGTACGATATATCACGAAAGGTAGCCCTTTAGGGGATACCTTGAGTTTGTCTTGCGAAGCAAGTGTTGGGACGTCCGGGTCTAATAATTGATCGCTCAATTCAGACCCCCCCCACCCCCCCCCCCCCT